ATGAATGTATGAAAAAAATTCAAGCCTGTGCTGGATTCAAACCCATGACCTCTGCAATACCAATGCAGTGCTCTACCATTACTGAGCTAACAAACCAACTGTGAGCTGGTCATTATGTTGGTTCATAATAAAACCATGAAGTGATGAATCAATTTTTTTTTTCTTTCTTTTTTTTAATTGTTACTTATTTATGTATATATAGTGTGCTAAACAATAAGCAAGTTCAAATAAAGCTTATTACTACTACAGTGACCATGAAGATAGTTGGTTGCAAGTTAGCACTTTCTTTTTATCAAATATGGTTATGAAGACTGAAAATGACACTTTATTAGACTAAGTTGTTTTGGTACAAGATATCCCTCATGAAATTCAACTCATTATATTTGCAACTTTTGGTCTCTTCTATTGATGCAAAATTGAAAGACCCTAAACAATTAGTAACCATGTATACAGTACTGTAGGTAAGATAATGTGAAAAGGTTCATTATTTGTTCATTGTTTTATAGTTCCTATTGACTCAACTAAAGGAATAAAGATGTTATACGTATTTGTGGACATAAAGCTGGATGCCACACATTTTGTCAACACAGTCAGACACAATTTTGAAGCTGGAAAGTCACTTGCACTTTTGAGCACAATCCAGTTTGTGACAACACTTCAAGTATGTATTAAATGATTACACTGATGGGACAGTATCAGGATCATGTTTATTGTTGGTACTCTTGACTGATATAGCGGTCAATATATTGGTCAAGAGTTGGTCGATACTTAACCAATATATTGGTTGACAGTCGGTCAACAGTCGGTTGACTGACTGCTTCTTCTGGATGGGAGGAGCATCTCACATGGTTCACTATCAGGCATTTTGTCAAGTTTCCATGACAACTCACTGGTACCCATTTCTCTCCAAGCTAGAGAGAGGGGAGAGAGAATGCAATACAATGACTTGGCTGAGACTTAAACCCTGTGGTTTGGACCCAGTGTCTCCTTTTATTTTGTTCATACTTTAAAACAATTTTTACATATATGTATTTAATTTGTTGTTTACCCAGGCTGTATATCAAGACCTGTGTAAAGATTATCAGGTAGAGATTCCGCAGTGTAAACCATTGTCACCTGGAGAGATTCTGGGCTGCACTGCTCCCAGAATAAAAGACAAGGATGCATTCATGTAAGAAAATTATTAAGAAAAACAAGGAAATAATCATGTAATTTAGTTCATTGTGAATTTAAGAAAACTGCACCAACTCTTTCATAGTGAGTATTCTTAAACAAATTGAACATTCTTTTGAAAATCTTTCTTATTATTTGTATTGGTAAATCTAGTTGTAAGTACTGTAGTGGTTTAGTTTAATTAAAAATTTGCACCATTACATCTGAAGCTATTTGCTTATAAATAAAACAATGTTCCGAGCCAAGGATCACTGTAGTTTTAGGATGAAAATAAGGCAGTTTGTTCGTGTTTTCACCATGTCCGTTGTTTTGTCAGGAAACTCCCATATAGCCTCTGTCTTATTTCTGGAAGAATTGTTTGGCATTCTTCCTGCTGTGTCCATGGCATATTTATTGTTTAGTGATGTTGCCTAGCGACAACGGTGCCCACTTTGACTAAAATAATCATGTTTGTTCTGAGGACTAACTTAAAATCATTTAACCCTTTCATTCCCAAGATCTCATTGGTAATTCTCCTTGCTGTCTACCATACAATTCTTTTGATGTTAGTGTGAAGAATTAAGTATAATTTAGTATCCATTTAAAACCGTTTTTCTAAACCGTTTAACGGAAAAGCGTTAGTGTCCGTTTTCCCATGGAGGGTCACATTTGGTACTGGATGAACTTCAAATACCCTAATTGATATTTTCCTTTAGTTCATCACTTGTCTGCTTGATATTGTATTGATATTGTAAGGAGAAATTCTATCCTGGTCAGTCATAGGAGTGAAAGGGTTAATCATTTAATTGGGTGGAAATTGAGTAAAAGTGT